GTGCAGCACTAGTATGGGGCACGCCAAAACGGCTCCATGAGCACTCTCAGTTTCTCTCTGATTAGACGTACACTTATTAACACTCAACTTGAATTTTGTCCCCTAGGGGAAACTAACACATGCACATAGCTGGCTCAATTTCGTTGTTACTAGCTGTACAACTTTGGTTCCTATATTATATATTTAATTCGGAAGAAATATTTAATTGAATTATTTGATTCTTATGTTCGTTTGAAGACGTGACTTAAAATTAGAAGGCTGCAAGCCGCTAGGGTTAGAGATCCTCTACTGCTAATGATCCGTAGATCTCTGCTTAAGGAAAGATCGCGCCACGATAGCTTCGGGGACGCTTGCGATGCTTGCGATGGCAGAATATGGAGTCTATTAACCTGTGATGTTGATACGATTATTTTTAATCGCAAAAAGCGTATTGATGGAATTAAAATGGCTGGTAAAGTGTGGAATACAGAAATATGGAAAGCTTGGGATAAACATGGAAAAAACGATTTGTAAGTGGTCAAACGCGTTAACGCGTTGTTCGCGAGAGTGCGTTCGATTATGTATTGAATTGATACCTCTGTGCATTGTACTCGGTGCAATTGATGGTTGCAACTTATCTCTCCTCGTTTCTCGCTCTTCTGAAGAGTTAATTGTCAATTAACGACTGTTTGCAGCCTCAAGTTAATCAAGCACAAATTTAAGGAAGGCAACACTGCAGGTGAGCGACCGTACCCTTTATTACCGCTTCGCGTTGCTAGCTTCCCGTTTCATTTCTCCGGCTGTGTTTCTACTTTACGCGCGTTCAAATCCCTTTCACTTCTCATTTTATTTTCCCATCGTGAGGTAAAAATTTGTTCGTGAAACATTATTTCTCAATCGCGCGCATCTTCGCGATCACTACTTTATCTTTAAGCGTCGGGACTTCACCGGATCGTTTTTATTATTATAAATCAAATAATTAGGTGAATTTTGTTCCTCCCATACGAACGATTTATCAATATCTATGAAATACGGGTAGCAGTTTTTTTTTACATTTCTCCGTTAATATTGTCTTATAGAATGGAGAAGGGGATTGTACGAATTAATATCGAATGGAATCCGTGGGAACATAAAAAGGGACAATGTTGTTCAGACATTAGGTGAACTGACGGTAAGAATGAACAGACAAGATGAGAAACTATTGCCGATGTTCGTGTTCTGTAAAATGATATTAATTGCAGAATATTGATGGGGCAATACCATCTGCAATCGTGGATATATTTACATTGATAGACGTAGAAGCGCATAACGAAGAGAGGAATAACTTTTATTACATTGTAAAAGAATCAGAGAAGGTATCATTCGATAGGACAAGTAACAAACTAAACGATATTGATTGTTCGACTGTATTAAAACCGATTTCCAATGGCATAATTAATTTATGTCGTTTGCTTTTCGTTTAGTTTCTCACAGACAGGATATTGAAGGAGCGTTTAGAAATCGACACTCTCCAAGATGTCGGAACGTTAAAGAACAAAAATTTTCAGACGAAGTTCATCAAAGTAAAGACAAAGTTGTAGTACGTATCCTCTCCTTCTGCGTGAATTCTGATCGAAATCAGACGAAAGTTCATGTCAATCGTTTATCCACAGTTACAAACAACGAAAATTCAATTTATTTCGCGAGGAGAGCGAAGGATATTCGAAACTGATAGTGGAATTGAATCAGGAACGTCCTGAGAGCGAAGTAGCGTCTATACTGGAAATCGTTAAATCCCTAATCGGTAAAACGTCTTGTGATCGATCGCTGCGATTGGAAATTTACCAACAGACTTAATAACGCGAGATTCATTTTTCTAGGATATTTCAATCTTGACCCAAATCGAGTCCTCGACATTTTATTAGAAACGTTTGAGAATCGGCCGCAAGACGATGCGCTTTTTATCCCATTAATTCGTTCGTACATGAGCGACCAGCAGGTCCTCTGCGAAGTTTTAGGTTTTAAATACTGTTCTACCATGAATGCGACACCGTTCTCGTTGCAAAAAGTCACTGCGCTCATGTTGCAACATGGCGTGATCAAACTGGACGATATATTGCCGTGGTTAGTGCCCGACGACAGAACGATCGTCAAGGAGCACGAACAGGCGATGAAACAAGCTAAAGAGTACGTTCGGAAATTGAGCGTGATCTCCACGAAAGACAAAGAAGAGGTACCCGAGGAGAAGGAGAATCTTCAGGATAAATACGCGAGTAATCAAAAGTTCGGATTGTGCGAAGCACTTTTGGAGGTCGGCGCTTGGGAAGTCGCGCAGAACCTGTTCAACCGGTTACCGGAGCACAGTCTCACCGACCAGCGCCCGATCGCGTTGTCGCTCTGTAGAATGATTCAGTCTCTCATCGAGCCTGTTTACCGGAAATACTGTATAATATCTCCGAAGTTGCAGGGCAGAAGAATCCCACCGTTAAAAAGTTCTCTCGCTCCGAAACCGATGGAGAATCTCGAAGAGATCCACGATCAATTATTACCGATGCTAATAGTCCTCGGACCGAATTTACATCACGATCCCGTTCTGATGTACAAAGTCATGCGACTGTGTCACACAGTCATAAAGCAATGCTCGCTGGATTCTAACAAGCAGCCGATTGATAAAAATAGTAACTTGTACTACGACGTATTGACGATTCTCGATGTCGCATTGCTGCCGTCGCTGTCCTTCATGGACTGTAACTGCTGCGTCGCGGAGGAACTGTGGAACATATTGAAGTACTATCCATATCAGAACCGATACTGTCTGTACGCTCGGTGGAAGAACGATACGCCGTTGCAGCACGCCGCGCTCTTGCGAAAAAGAGCGGACGCGCAGAAGAAGATTAAATCGATTATGAAGAGGGTCAGCAAGGAGACCATAAAGCCGGTTGGGAGATCCATAGGCAAACTCACGCATTCCTCGCCCGGCGTATTGTTCGATTACGTTCTTGTACAAATTCAGTTGTACGATAATCTTATAGGTAAGGCGGTTGAAAGTAGCTCCTCGAAATTGGCGTGGTACGGTTCATTTGTTAATCGATGTACGTGCGTGTCGTAGGTCCTGTTGTAGATTCACTGAAATATCTGACTAACATTTCCTACGATGTACTTGGCTACTGTCTGGTGGAAGCTTTGGCTGGCGCCGACAGAGATAGGTTTAAGCACGACGGCACCAGTATATCTCTCTGGCTGCAGTCCCTCGCTTCGTTTTGCGGGGCGATATTTAAAAAGTATAATATCGAACTTACTGGCTTGTTGCAGTACGTAGCTAACCAACTTAAAGCACAAAAAAGGTACGACGAATCTTCGCATGCCTATTGAGCCTGTGTACGACCATTTGATCACCCTGTCGTTTAATTTCCTCTCCAGCTTAGATTTATTAATATTAAAAGAAATAGTACAAAAGATGGCAGGCATCGAGGCTGCCGAAGAAATGACCTCCGAGCAACTAGACGCCATGGCAGGCGGAGATTTACTAAAGAACGAAGTAATTATCCTCGATATTAAAATGAATCAACATCACCTGAGCGTCATTTAATCATTTAAATCCAATATTCCAGGCTGGTTACTTCAGCCAAGTACGCAATACTAAGAAATCTTCACAACGATTGAAAGAGGCTCTTGCAGAGCATGATCTCGCTGTAGCTCTGTGCCTTCTGATGGCCCAGCAAAAGCACTGTGTTGTGTACAGAGAGACAGATAAATCTCATCTCAAACTCGTCGGTGAGTGTCAAGAAAGCGATTCTCCTTATCACGAATGGAATGTTTAATTCGATTTTTGATCGCAGGAAAATTGTACGACCAGTGTCAGGACACGTTGGTACAATTCGGTACGTTTTTGGGATCTACTATGACGGTGGACGAGTACGTGGACCGGCTCCCTTCCATTCACTCGATGCTCCAAGACAATCACATACATTCTGACGTAGCATTTTTCCTCGCAAGACCAATGTTTGCACATGCCATTAACGTAAGCATCTCCGATCTGTTTCAATCGATTCTGATTCGTGATAGAATAAGTATGATCGTCTTTAGATTAAGTACGACGCTCTGCGTAAGGCTGATCCGAACTACAAGAAAATGTCGACTACTATGAAACAAGCGAAGTACGCGGAAGCCGCACAGGCGGTCATGGCTCCTGTCGCTCTGTCGGTCAGACCTTTGCATCCGGCGAAAGTCTGGGAGGATATCTCGCCGCAATTTTTAGTCACCTTCTGGTCTCTGTCTATGTACGATTTGTATGTTCCTGTCGAAAGTTATCAGAGGGAGGTCAACAAGTTGAAGCAGCTCGCTGTTCAAAGTGCCGATTCCAAAGATGTACGTGTTAATATTCCTCCCCTTGCGAAATGATTTTCCTCTTACGTTATTATTAATGTATATGTTCTCTTATAGAACGTTAGCAAAGGGAAGAAAGAGCAGGAGAGGTATAACACTTTGATAGACAAGTTACAAGACGAGAAGAGGAAACAGGAGGAGCACGTTGAAAAAGTGTTTGCATATCTAAGGTAAGTTTAACAATTCAATGTTTCTAGATAATTTTCATTCGATTGTAACGATTTATTCAGGCAAGAGAAGGACACGTGGTTCTTATCGCGTAGCGCTAAGTCAGCGAAAAACGAAACTATCACACAATTTCTACAATTGTGTCTGTTTCCTCGTTGTACATTTACTACCGTCGATGCTATGTACTGCGCGAAGTTCGTTCACACTATCCATTCATTGAAGACTGCGAATTTTTCAACCCTTCTTTGCTACGACAGAGTAAGCATGAAAATATTTCGTTTAAGAGAGAACTGTTATTTCAATGAAGAATATCAATCCAATAATCCGTCGTTTCGTTTCGCAGCTTTTCTGTGATATAACATATTCAGTTACCTCGTGCACCGAGAACGAAGCTAATCGTTACGGGAGATTTTTATGCGCGATGTTAGAGACGGTGATGAGGTGGCACTCCGAGAAAGCCATATTCGACAAGGTATGTATTACAATAATGCGCACGCGAGAGAGAATTAAAACGCTTACACCTAACATTTTTAGGAATGTAGCAATTATCCGGGATTCGTAACGAAGTTTCGCGTCAGCAATCAATTTTCCGAAGCGAACGACATGGTCGGGTTCGAGAATTACAGGCACGTGTGTCACAAATGGCATTACAAAATCACGAAGGTAATAATTAACTTAACTTTTCGAAGCGACGCGTTAAAAGGATTATTACATAACTGCATAAATTTCATAGGCGATCGTAGTTTGTTTGGATTCCAAGGATTATGTACAAATAAGAAATTCGTTGATAATATTAATAAAAATATTGCCGCATTTCCCTGTCTTGGCGAAATTATCGCAAATCCTCGAACGTAAAGTGGAAAAGGTTCGGGAGGACGAACGCGGGCATCGTCAGGACTTGCACGTGTTGGCTACGTCGTACAGTGGTCAATTAAAAGCGAAAACTCCGAATATGATTCGCGAGGCAGATTTCCATCACGTCGGCGACAAGGTTCGTGCGAACCCTTAGTGTAACAGTCGTTTGTTCTTACGAGAGGAGACAATATGAAGTTTTCTATCTAGGCTGGGAAAATGCAAGAAGCTTCGAACAGCGAGTCGACGGAAAAGGTTGGCGATGGGATATCTAGCAAGGAGATTACGAACGGCGACAGTAGGATAGACAAAGAGAACAAGGATCAGCGGGAGAAACGAAGCGCGTCTAATCAATTACATCAGTAAGTTACGTTATCTAGAATTCTATTTAAAACCGAGAACATGATTTTTTATCGGCACTTATTTAAACGCAGCGACAGTACGGAGAAAGTCAGAAAAAAGGAAGAGAATAAAGAGAGTTCGGAGGTGAAGGAGAAGCATATAAAAAAGGAGGAAATTAAAGAAGAGGATTCGATAGAAAAGAAAGACCGAAAATATTATAAAGTAATTATAAATATTTCTGAATTCGTCTATCTTGGAATTTCTGTTACATTATTTCGTTTCATTGTAGGAAGAACATTATTACGGCGGTGGTGTAGATAATTTAGACCGTGATCTATCTAGTGTCTCAAATAGTAGTGCCAGTTCTGGTCCGACGCAGGATGGCTCTGACAGAGGTTCGAATTAATAAAATTACAAACTGCACTACTAAATGATTGATATTGACAAAAGAAAAACATTTTGATTCCAGACGCCAAACGAAGAAAAGTTGAGAATATACAAAAGGTAAGTTATTACATTGCTTCGATGGTGCGTCTTTTTGCTCGTATATAATTTTAACTTTTGACCCAAGCAGGACGGAAGACGCACGGAAGGGAGTCTCGACAAAAAAGAGCGTTCGAGTAAAGGGAAAATAAGGGACGAGCAGAAAGAGCGGAAAGAGAAGAAGTTCACTAGGAAAAGAGTACGTTTAAAATTTTCTATGAAGGATCCGTTATGATTTAAGACGATCAATTTGATATTTCTTCGTACAGGACAGAACAGACGAGTCAGCGGTTGCTACCGAACAGAAAAGAAGAAAAGACGACGAGAAGGGTAAGAGATAATCTTTCTCATAATTCTTAATTCATATTTATTTTAGTTCTCCAATGCTAATGAGGAAATTTGCTTTCAGCGAAAGGAACGCATCAGAACGGCGATATCACCGAGCACAGGGAGAAACATCACTACAACAAGGTTCGTAACTTCTATTTTCGCATTTTCGCTATTCATCGTATCGAAGAGATTCTCAGGATACACAAACTGGTTTCATACATTAATTCTCTTATCATCAAAACGATCGCTATTTAAATCAAACTCAGAAGGTCATTACTTGTCTTTCCCATAGAAAAAAATTGCCCCTATCGTACGTATTCGGTATATATCACGGAAGAATAAAAATCGTTACACTTTTCTTTTTATAATCCCGCAACATGTCACGAATTTACATTTAATATCCCGCACACATTCAGCCTATAAATTAACTTTTTTAATCATTTTTCTAACACTATTCCTTGATACCCCTTAGTTGATAAAGACGTCCGCTTCGAGTACATTGAAAAGACGAAATGGGAGACAATAGCAAAGACCAGAAAAACTAGGTGATACTATCAAGTACCCAAACGACAATTGCAGGGTGCCGCGGCATTCAGAAGATTCATATGAGAATGTATTTTCAGGAAAAGTCACCCTACGCAAAGGAACGTACTCACGAACGGGAGGGTCGTGAAAGTCGAGATAAACAATATCCTTTTTAAATACTGGATTAAAAATATATTTATCATCGAATCGATATATAAAATCCGAAATAAATATGATCCTTAATACCGAGCACTAGGAGGAGTTCGGATCCCAAACGAAGATGATGTACAACAATGGAAAAAATTTGACTTAACATTTTATATACTACGTTTGGTGTTGCATGTAATTAAGGTAGAATTCGAATAATAAAGAAAAAAAAATAGCGATTAATTTGTATATTATATTAACGTCCAGTTTTATAAAATAAACTAGGTGACAAAATCACTTTGGTACACGTTCAATTCAGTCTTAAATTTGTACATACGATTCAAGTTTTATATGTATAATTTATAATAGGTACTATATAGGTACAGTAATCGCAATAAAATAAAAGCCAAAACCTGTAGCCTTCATTCACGATTCCTACCCTTCGATTAAATTACAAAAAGACGAGTTTAAATGATCGTCGTAAACAAAACTAACATCACGGAGAATTGTTAATGAAATTGTAATAATACTGATCTGCTTTCAAGCTCTCCTCCTCTAATCGCTTAAGCCTCATCTTCGCGTCTTGCAATATGTCCTCAGTCGAGCTACTCTCACTGACGATTACGGTGGTCTGCGTCGGAACCTCCGTCGCAGGCCTCAACGAACGTATGTCCTCCACTTGCCGAGACAGTTGAAGAGCACGTTGCGTTATCTGTTCTATCCTTAACTGTTGTTCCCGAATGAGAGCACTCAATTCCTCCTTTTCCCTAGTAAGTATCTCGATCTTATCTTCCTGCCCGTCCGTCTGTACATCGATGCTCCTTAAAAACTGATCGAACGTTTCCCCAGTTTGGACCTCTTTCGGTTCGCGCGATCTTGCCACTTTTTTACAATCGTCTTGCTCCCTATTCAATCTACAGATTGATTATTAATTAGTAAAAAGGGAGACTTTTTATGATTCAATGAACTACGAAGTATTTACCTATTCGCTTCCTGCGACAGTAATCTTTCTTTCAACGTCAATTCAATCTCTTTCTGCAAGATCTGTTGCTTGCTAGCTTGCATCTCTTCCTTGAACTGTTTCTCCTTTAAACTCATATTATGCATAGCATTCTAAACGATACATTCGAATGTTATTACGTATCACAGACGAAGGTTGAAAATTAATATTACCTGGACTAGATGCAATTTTTCGTTTAACGTTTCGAGCTGTTGCTCGATAACGACCGCCTGCTCTTTCAACATCATTTCTCTTTCGCGTAGCTTGTCATCAATCGTTCGCTTATGGGTATCAATCTTCCTCTTTAAAGCGGACAATTTTTCTACATACAAACTGTGCGACTTCCACGAGAATTCGGTCTGCGTGGACTCGTTGCACAGGGAGACCTTGTCTTTTACAGGCACGTCGTCGCGCAGATTATAAGAGAACATAGTTATACATTTTAATATACATAGAAGCAGGGGCGTATCGCTTTCGACGTATTGCGAAATAACGTATTGGCCCTTAGGGTCTCGGGGGTTGATGCCCAACGTTTCCAAAGCGTGAAATATATAATCTGTCTGCAACTTCCCTTTGTTAATGCTCCCACCCTCGGGTTTTTGGAACGTTTTATCAGAGAAATTAACTAACAACGGTGCCTCGCTGGCGAACACAGACATGGTATACGCGTAATTGTGATTAAACAAATACTCGGCTATAAGCAAATCGTACACATACTGCTTGGCGCATCTTGGCCCGTCGCTCTTTATAACCAGCTCTCTGGTCTTCAATGCGTTTATCAAATTTTGACGGAGATGCGTTCTGATATTCGAAATCACGCCACACTTTTCGAACCTTGAAATTATTAAATATGTAAATGAAAATGCAACTGGAAATAATTTGGATCTTAACCCATACATTCTCTTCTAAAATAGAAGGTTTTAAACGTAGCTACGTACCAATTGAATAAAGTAGAATAATATTCCTCGTCCATGTTAGAAAAATGATTTGATTAGAGAATTTCTTTTATAAAATAGCGTCACTGTTTTAAGTTGCACTTTCGTATTAGAATTGGGAGTGGGGTTGATTATCATATGAACAGCTGTCCTGTTGTATACAACAGTGGTGGAGGACCGATCGCGTTCATTTAAATATAAATTATATCAAATCACGATGGTGTTAAATAGCAAATTGCCCGTATTAAGACGACTGTTACAAAGTAGCAGGTAGGTGAAAAATCGGGATAAATCATGTGAAGGTTAATTCATCTTTCCCTATATTAAAGAACGACCTGCCCGTCGGGACTGTGACGCGTCCCGATAATGAACAATTGCTGCATAATTTATAACTCATTTTCAGGCAGTTCCACAGTTCGAGGATTAAGAAATCATACGAAGGTACGGGTAAAACGACGATAGATATTATTAACAAGAAAGATGAAGACGAACAGTCACAAGGAGGTTTATTAATAAACAAATGTTTACCGGTACGAGAACATCTTAAAGTAGTCTGAAAATAAGATTACATGCTCTAATTTGGTTTTACAGATAGGATTTAAGTTGAGCGATAAATCATTAATAATGGGACCCATGGCGATTTTCCCAAGAAGTGTCTTGTCGTGGAATGTCTGCACTGCTAAGGATATAAACGAAGAGACCTTATCTCTGTTCATTAACTTGTATCCAACACTGGATCTCTTAATCTTAGGTTTAGAAACTAAGTACGAGCATAGTAAAATTACAGAGATGAGAAAGATCCTGACGAAGCATAATATCAGAGTTGAAATACTCCCAGTGTATCAAGCCTGCGGTGTTTATAACTTTTTAACGAACGAAGGGAGATACATCGGTGCAGGTTTAATACCTCCTCTAGTCGAAGATTCTTTATTATTAAAATTACATAAAAAACCAGTTGAAGAGAAAAAACAGATAGAGGAAAAATAATAAATTATAGAAATCATTTATAATGTTAAGAGACTAGCTTTCTATTTAATTTGTATATATGTACAAATAAAGATTAAAACCTGACCAATATAATAACGCTTTTATTACAATTCTTGTTCCCGGCTAAATAGACAGAGGCTATATAGATTGCACGTGTTAATTAACATAAACTCTCCCGCACGTGACGTTATAATTCCTTTCATTTCGTTTTCCTTAGTGTAGGGCCTTTTTCTGGCAACTATGATTGAAGGATCCCTAGGTTGTACGTGGTAACATAACCAAAAAAAGCACAGTGCGCCTGAGCAATACCGAGCACGTTCATTTTCTTCCATTTTCTCTCTGGCGCCTGGCGGTAGAAAGCGTAGTAAGAGCATCCGCAAGCGTGACACGTTTTACAAGAATATAAAATCATCTGATCATTAAAAAGGTAAGACTACCGTTGAGTTTCGTTCGTCTGAATATTCTTAATAAATATCTTCGATAATCCCGGGTTTTCTGACTGAGTTTCTGGATTTTGTTCGGTGCAGATGACACTGAAAAGCTTTCCACGAGGAGGGAAGAAAGTCCCGGAGAAGAAATTCCATGCGGAGAAGCATGATAAAAGACAGCGCGAGAAAGCTGGAGGGAAAAAAAGAAATGAGGAAGAGGAAGCGAATTTTATTTCTACGACCGCCGAGAGGTTAACGTATGCAACGATATCCGAAGGACTGACAGTGTTAGGATGCGTGTTCGATGTTACCGAGTACGATTTAATGATATCCTTGCCTGGTGGCACGATCGGTCGTGCTCAGGTCACAGATATCAGCGAGACTTACACGAATTTGTTACAAAATCTGATCGAGTCCGGAGAGCAGCAGACAGGCGAGTTCAAATCTTTAACAGAATTGTATTCCGTCGGGGACTACGTTGTGTGTTACGTGAAAGCCATACGGCCAGAGGAGAAGTTTCAGATTGTACTTTCTCTAGAACCAAAATTGATAAATCAAAGTATAGATATCAGTCATTTAGATGTTGGCTCGAGGATGGTCTGCACCGTCAGCAGCATAGAAGATCACGGCTGTGTGATCGATACAGGATTAACGAACGCGAGGGGATTTATTCCTAACAAGGAAAATGAGAAGAATTTGTTCCCTGGCAAACAGCTTCTGTGCTGTGTGAAAGAAATGAAAACGAGCGAGAACACATCAATAATCACATTGTCTTCTAAACAAGGCCTTGTCAAAGCTGTCCACGAAACAGATATTAAATCGTTGGACAGTTTAATGCCAGGCACGAGGTTTGATCTTCGGATTAAGAAAGTTCTAGCCAACGGTGTACACGTTTCCTTTGGAGAAGATTCAATAGGCTACGTAAACCAACTATACTTAGAAGAGCCGTTGTATACGTATGGAAAAGGAATGAATATCACAGGAACGTTACTGTATATTCTACCCACAATTAAATTCGCGTACTTCAGCTGCATGTTAGACAAACCGCGAGACGATTCGATTAAACCCGGAGACATGATCGAGGAAGCTGTTACATTGTTCAAAGAATCCGGCGGCGTGGTGTTGCAGTTGAATAAAAACAAAACACGAGGTTTCCTTCCCTTAAAAAGAGCGAATGTCGACTACGAGAAGATAATGGAGAAATTTATTCCTGGCTCTACGCACAAGTGCAGAATACTGGCTTACGTTTGGATGGACAGAACTTACGTCTGTACAATGCAGCACTCGTTGTTGGAAGAGAAGTATTTTAAAATTGCAGATTTTCAACCGGGGGACACGGTGAAAGCAAAGATAGTGAGTATAAATCAGGAGAATGGTATAGTCAATGTGCAAATCGGTAAATTCGGTGGTCAAGTTTCACCGGAGAACGTGTCTGACGAAGGTTTGACCGCTCTGAAGAAACTGAAAGTCGGTGCCGAGGTGCAAGCACGAGTCTTGTTCGTGAACACTGCCTGGAAGAAAGTCTACCTCACTTTAAAGAAGTCTATGATAAACAGCAACCTTCCTATTCTGTCCGATGTAAGAGAAGCGAAAATCGGATCGAGATATCACGGAACTGTAATCCAGACGCACAAAAGTGGATTGTTGATAAAATTTTACGGCAATGCAAAAGGTTGGGTTCCGCGGCGAGAAGAAGACAGCTCGAATTATTCCATTGGGCAAACTGTCTTAGTAAAGATCGAGTCAATAGACAAAGAATCCGGGAAAATGCTGTTGAGCATTGGATCTAAACGAAAGAAAGAGGAAGAGGAGGAAGTCAAAAAAGAAGAGAAGAAAGAGTTCGAAATCGGTGACGAGGTGGAAGGAACGATAGTCGAATCCTCTACTCTGGGCGTACAGCTGAAGATCAGTAAGAATTATGGACAGAACGTGAGCGTAGGATTCCTGCCGGCTGGTCATATGTCGCCCTGCATGGAGACTGCAGCTCTGTTGGCATCAAAATGCATCCCCGGGGAAACATTGACTGCTGTAGTGTTCACCACGGAGCCTTTAATATTCACTAAAACTTTATTCCCCCAAGGGAAACACAGATTCTTCGAAAAACTAAAAGTCGGGAACTGTATACCTTGCTCGATAAGAGACGTCGAGCCTAACGGCGTGAGAGTCATCCTTCCTGTCGCAGGATGCGCGCCATTTGGATACGTCAACTACAGCAACGTCAGCAATTTTCATCTCTTGAATACGAACCAAATTCTGTACGCGAAGATTATGTCGATCAATGAAAAGGAGAAGCAATTAGGCTTGACATTGTCGTTAAAAAAAGTATTCGACGCGCTGCCCGATCCAAAGAGCAGGCTTATGGCTGCGGTGGACCCTTTGAAATTATACTTGAGCAAACTAAAAGAACTGGCTTCGAATTCGTTTTATGAGAACAGACCGATCTCGTCTGTTAAATTGGGACAAAGAGTCACTGGAAAGATTGAAAAAGTTACAGACAGCGGCTTGGTAGTACAACTGCCGAACAATTTGTTAGGCATAATATCTAAAGATCATTACCGTGGACAAAAAAAAGTTGGTGATAATATTTCTGGCACGATTATGTGGAAGAATTATGTCCACGAGCTGGTCGATATAACTGCGCTGCCTGCTTTGATGAACAAAATAAGCGTAAACCAAAATAAGCCGATACAATTTGACAAAGGAAAAGAGCTTCGAGGTAGAATCTTGATGGTGACGAATTGGTTCGTCTTAATTTTGATAAAAGGTGCCGGCAAAGGCACTCTGGTAGCGATGCCTGTAAGGCGACACATGAACGACGTACAGCCAGATCTGAGACCTTACAATGTGGATGCTAAGATCAAATGCTACATCGTGTTAAACTCTAAGGAATCAGACGTTATGCCAATCTGTATGGTGAAGTCTGCTTTTGAGAAGAAAAATCAAAAGAATAAAGATGCCGATAATGTGGTCGCTTCAAAGAAGAGAAAGAATGCTACCCAAGAGACCGAGGTACCTACTAAGAAGATAAAAACCGAGGATAAAGAGAAAATGGGAGTTAAGAAGAAACGAAGCAAGAAAAAATCTGACTCTGCCGATTCGACTTGTATTAAGAACAATAATTTTCAAATTGAAGAAGAAGACGTGAAGCCCACAGAAACTGAGTTAAGGAAATCAGAAGAAGAGAAGCCGAGGGTACCGGAATGCGGTTTCTTCTGGGACGACACACCCGATTTAAATCTCCTCGGTAAAAAGGAATCCTCGAGCGAGAGTGAAGACGAGACGGAGCAACAACCAAAACAGAAGAAGAAAAAATTGAACGCCGCCGAACGTCGAGAGGAAGCGAGGCAAAAAGAACGGGAGATTCGTGAAAGAGAAGAAGCCCTAGCCAGTAATCAATTACCAAACTCCGTGGATCAATTCGACAGATTGGTTCTGGGCAGCCCAAACAGTTCTATAATTTGGCTACAATACATGGCGTACCATTTACAAACGACAGAGATCGAAAAAGCGAGAGCAGTCGCGAGGAGAGCTGTAAAAACAATTAATTTCAGAGAAGAAAACGAGAGGCTGAATGTATGGAACGCATGGTTGAACTTGGAATCGAAGTTCGGAACCCCTGAATCGTTGAACGACGTTTTCCAAGAAGCCGTTAGAACCAACGATTCTTTAAAAATATATACCCACATGTTAACTGTACATATAGAAGCTGGTAGATTAAGTGAATTAGCAAAAACAGTCAATACTATGATAGGAAAATTCAAACAGAATCCTCAGGTATGGATAGACTGCGGCGAGGCTTTGTTAAAGGTGAACTTAAAGGATAAATCGAGGCACATTATGCAAAGAGCGTTGCAATCTTTGCCGCCATCTGAACGTAAGCGTACATTAAATGCGAATTAGAGTCTTCTGTAATAGGAGATCAGGTTTATAATGTATCGTTTGATTTTTTCCGCAGATGTAAATTTAATGGCGAGGTTCGCGCTGCTGGAGAACAGGTTTCAGGACAAAGAGAGAGCGCAGACTTTGTTCGAGCAAATTTTAAGCTCGTACCCGAAGCGGGTCGATGTCTGGTGTTGCTACGTTGATTGTTTAGTGAAAACTAACGATATCGATCTAGCTAGGTAAAATTCTTCAACGTATTTGATATTCTTTTCTTATACAGGATTTTTCTATTCAATTTTGTATTTACAGAAAAGTGTTGGAACGAGCTGTTGTTCAGACGCTCCCGCCTAGGAAAATGAAGACGCTGTTCAAAAAGTTTATCGCTTTCGAGGAGCAGTACGGAACGCAAGAAGACGTTTCCCGCGTGCAACAGATGGCTGTAGAATATGTAGAAAAACAGTGCAACAGAGATTGTTGATATCTTTGCTAATTTAATATTACATAAAATCACCACGTTCTTACTTTTTTTATCCCGTGCAAACCGAATCATGGCGAACAATTTCCGAGTACATAAGAATACATGTAATTTTAAATACCTAGCATAAGAAATACACACAGTTCGATTGATCGTTTAGAAACGTTTGAATCTCGAATACGTTCTGGCGTAGTAGGAGTGATAGTTCCGCGGGCGGCAGCACAGGCGCCCGCCGAACCTGAGCATGTACGGCATTTTCTTCTGCGCTAGCGCAGAATGCGGTAGTCCTCGAAGCGATGACTGTCAACGCGGAAATCGGCAGCCTTGCAATCGCCATATTGTTTGCACGCACGTTGCGTTAACGAGTCAGTGGTGTAATTAATCTCGCGGCGTCGACAAGTGTTTCGCCGGGCCACAAGAGGGAAGTGCGAAGCGAAGATAGAGGGAAGAAAAAGGTAAAATAGCGGTGGCCCGTTGGCGGCGAAACTACGGTCGCGCGGAGCCGCGTTCAGAGATTTCGTTGCAATAACGTCGGCGTGTGGTTCGCGTGATCGCGAGAGGTTGACAAAACCGTCCGACGTTTAAATCGATCGAGTGGCCGTCGTGTCGCGTTGGTGGGCACGTCGAAACCTACCCGGATCGACGTGTATTTCGCCTTTGGTGACGTCACCGACAGTTCCGAGGGATGGCCCGTGCTCTCGAGCACCGCGACGCATCGCCTCTCCTCCCCTTTTCGTAACCCGTAAAATCGACCAACAGACAGAGAGAGAGAAAGCGAGAAAGAGAGAGCGAGCGCGAGTGAGTGTGTGTGAGAGAAAGAGAGAGAAACGAAGTTCCGAAATCACGAACTCGCGGACGACGAAGACGACGACGACGACGACGACTACTATGGCCGTGGAAACGCGAAGGTGTCTGTAAAACACTGACGTACTCTTTTTAGTGAAGTCGTGTTGCACGCGCCAACCTATCTCTGTTACCTACCTACACCTTGGGACCGAACGAATTTAATCGAGCGAGAGCTCCACACGAGTAGAATCATCAGGCCGTGAGTATTTTTCCCCCCTTTTATCCGTTCACCCCTCCACGATGAATGACTCGGCCGCGTGGATGGAACGCGAATATGAACGTTTATACGGGTCGTGCGATGTTTTAAGTTTGGAACGTGAGAAATGCCAAAGGCCGTGTCCAAATCAACGCGTATACCTTTCTCCTTCTTTCCACCACGTCTTTCTCTTTCCCTCCACCCTGTCGCTCCACTCTCCTCGCTCCTTCCTGTGCTCGGGTTTTACCACATCTCTCTCTCTCTCTCCCTTTTTTTTGTCCCCTTCCTCTCTCTCTCTCTCTTTCTCGTTTTCCTGGCCTCGTGAACATGGGGTTAGGTTACGAGGAATTGAAACAACTCGATAAAAATATTCGAAGTATCGAGAAACGGTTCCCTCTTACGCAGCGTCATTCTCGGCCCATCGTCGACGGGAAATCGTGTATCCTGCGACACGGTGAATTATGTGCACGCGTCTCGGAAACCAACGGGGATAGAAATAGTAGAGAAGCTGAAAGGATCGATGAATCACTTGGATCAAATCGTCTCTGACAAAAGTTCTCCATTATTTCAAAGTCTATTTTATGCATTATTTGAAACCGTAATCGGGATATGATTCACGGCTCGATCCAAGTTTGGAAATCGAACGTGAGATCGGACCGCATTCCACGCGTGTTTTCTTACGTTGGAAAAGCTCTCCGCTGGTTTGTTATGAATCAGTTTCGAGCTATCATCATTTTAATTCAATGAACGTTTTAATTGATACTAGAAGCGAAGAATTTCGTATGATATCTCTGCGTTGCACGATAAATAGTAAACAATCGACGTTTCCCTGTTCCCTCTTATCATCTCAACGTTTCCTTTGATAAATCGTGAGAGTCGGCATCGATCGAATGCAAGTCTTCTTTTTGGAGGAGCTTCGCGTATCCTTGTCTTATGTAACGCAACACGTTACACGCATAAACACGCATACTAGGCCGTGCCGGTGGGCGAACCCGTGTGCGAATTCGATCGATGTTATTAATCGCGTTACGAGTGCAGTCTTACGCGAACCTGAAGCACCACGTGCGTGCGTACACTCACTGTTTTTCCGCATTGAATAGAGATATTTTTCCGTAGGTAGCTCCGCGGTGTTTCCCCGGCGGGAAAACGTCATTGAGAGAGAATGGAACGATTTCTCGGTGAGATGTTTAATAACGAGAACAACGAAACTGTTTCCCTGGCCACGTGAATGAATCCCGCCGGTCGCGATTGTTGTTTTTGGAGCGCCAATGCGAGGGTTAATAGCACTCTGGGGTAAAGTGAAAAAAAAGAAATGGTTGCCTTTGATTCCCCCCCTTGAGTGGCGAAACGAGGGGGAAGGAAAGAGACAAAAGATGGATTAGCATAGTGCTATTGTTGCACGCTGCTTACCGATGCAAGGCATTACCATCGTAGACGGTAATTTAAAATGCTGAAGACGCCTGGGAGACACGTTTCGCCTCGTTCTCGTTGCGTAAACGTGTAATCTGCTCTGGCAAGGGATCCACGTGTAGGTACTGATTCCCATGATGTAATAGTCGCGATCTCATTGATCCGCCAACGTTCTGTCTTCTCGTGCTCGCGTTGACAAATTTTACGTTATTCATTTTAGGCCTCGAGTCCGTCCGTCTCAACGAGTGAAAATCGAGATTGGTTAGTAAGTAGGTAACGAGTAATTGGGCGCGTGTACCTGTTTCTCAGGGGAACCTAATTAGCGACGCGCACGTTCGCTGGATTCGCATCATAGGATTAGTTACATAATTTTCAATTGTGCTCTTTACGCGATTACGTAACTACGTTATTGACTCAGCCTGCGCAACGGCGATAAGAGAGATGACCCGTAATATATTTGTCGTAATTGCTCCGCGAGATATCGTGCACGCGATATCTTTTTTGTCCCTCCTTCCCTTGTGGCCATTCGCCGGCTTTGAAGTCAGGAAAGAAGAATCGCAAGTCACACGCGCGGTACACAAGAGCTGTAATGATAATTTTTTTTTTTTTATTTATTTTTCTTCTTTATTCCGTCCTCTGGCTCGTTATACGATCTTCGAGGAAATTCAAGACGTTTCTCGTATTGGTTTTGCGCGTCCGATGTATTCCGGTGAAAACTGGGATGCTTGCCAGGTCCGAGCGGAAAAACGTGGCTGACTTTCTTGACGCCAGCTATTTGGCAGAGACGCGGATTCCCCCCTTGCGCGAACAATTTTTACGCCGCCGTTAATTCCAAAAACAGAATCGCAACCGGTCCAGTTAATCGCACCACCGCGAGAGATCTCGAGATGCATCAGGATTAAACTTGCCGAGGTCTTGTCTTTAATTCCCAAATGGAGGAATTATGGTTTAGCTACGCCCTGTTATGTAATTTCCTTTTCTGCTTAACGATTAGAAAAGAACCGTTCCATATCTTGATTACGTTGCACGATCGACACTATCTTCCTGTCTATCGTAGATAAACAGTCAGATATAGTTTCACTTGTTCAGTTTTGTAAAATATTTCCACAGCGACGAAATGCTAAATGCCAATTGATATCTCAGCTGTTATCAGTTTGGTATATTTAGAAAATCATAATAGCGAGAGTAATGAATTTAAGGATGTATTGGCTATACAGTTAATTCCAAAAGTTTATGTGCCTTAGAAAAACGCATTTCCTATAATTAAAAAGAAATCAGACGTCGGAAGAATAATGCTAATAATAAATAACTA